TCGATAAGAATTTTTTTTCCTCAAAAATTCACTTACTTTAAAAAAGACAAGATATCTTTTCCTCATTTTCTTTTTGAGTTTCCATGTGAAGTCATTCGACTTGGCATCCAATAACACTTTCATGATGCCAATTTTCCTATCCCTAAGTTGCTTCAGCTAATAATCCTCAATCTTGATTAGTTTAGCCTCAAAACATAAGCTCTCTCTAACATATAAATCATCTACTTCTAAAAATATATTTATTTAAATACTAAATTTGTAATCTAAACAAAACTTTCTCATTTCAAGATTTTTTATCTCAAATTATCTTTTTAAAGGATCAATTATATTTGTAAGAGATTTAGGAGCTTCAAATATATATAATATCATAAATATTAATTTGACTTTGATTAGTTATTATTTCATTCATGACATAAATCATTAATATCTTTCAACTTCATAGCAACTTCAAGTACCTACCTTTCTTCTTCATCCAATATCTTAGTTATGTGAGGGAATCTTTTGAAATTTTCATCCTCAATTCATCTTACCTTTTAACTCATTTTTTCTTATCCTAGGACTCTTACTGAGACTCCTTTTATAATATTTAATCTTTTCAAAATCAATGTTTAGTTAGGGTCCCATCAAATTTAATAAAATAATATTTTTATAATATAATAAATATATAATAAGTTTATTAGTACTAATATTTAACAAAATAATTATAATAATAAAGGTTAATATCATATTATAATGAAAATTATAAATATAAAATATATTAGAGTGTGTAAGAAGAATAATTGTTAAAATAAAATAAAAATACAATAAAATAATTTTTTTAAAATTAATTTAACTAATATGAGATAAAAAAGAAAAAACAAATATTGTATCTTTTATAAAAAATTATATTAAAAACATTTGATCCTAAATTTTATTTTGTACAAAAATCGATTTGACCCAAAAATCCCATCAATTTTCTTGATTTTTTTCGATTTTGTCTCAATTTTTTTTTTCGATTTTATCCTAATTTAATTAAAATTTGATTATTTGAAAATAACAGACCCTCGATTCAGCCTATTGAATTGGTCAATCTAGTCTAATTTTTAAAAGAGTGATAATATTAAAATATTCAACTGAAATATCAAATAGAGCATTGAAAATTGATGCATATGACATAATCACTATAATTTGAATTAATAAATATATTTGATAGTTGACTAAGTTTTGTAAATTATTTTTTCAATTCTACTTTACATCATTTTATACAAAATTAATATGAGATATTGATAATTCATTCAAACTAATATCTAGTTTTCATCCATTTATTCTATTACTAATGTTGGAAAAATTAATTCACCAAACTAGCAATTAATAAATTGAGTTATAAATGAACCTTTGATTAATGATTCTAAATATTTTATTTCTAATAAAATTCATTTTTATCATATATTTTTAATCTTCTTTAAGGAAGAATTGAAGTTAACGTTAGAATATAATTAAAACATATAAAAAACCCAATAATCCTTAAACAAAAAGTGTTTTGTCGTAGAATCAATTATAAAAAGAGTATAGTTTGATGATCAATTACCTTTATAATAACATATATATTTATCTTGTTTATTATTGTTATTTTTATAATTTCCTTCTCTCTTTCTTTTTTTTCATATTATCATCCTATTTTTAATGAGCATGACCAAGATAACAAACACGATTATGATGAATTAGAGAGAATTAAAAATTTTAAATGAAAGGACTAATATATAAAGATTAATTATTATATAAAAATAAATATATTATATAAAAGATTGATTAATAGGTTAAACATTATTAATAGAATTTAAATTTTGGAAAATAAAATTTATTTTATCATCTATCATATATTTTTTTCTTAAAAAATGAATTTATAATTTTTTAAATATCTTTAAAATTCAATCTAAATTATTTGTATTCACGTTTTAACGTCAAAATAAAATATCATAAGATATTAAAATAACTAATTAATTTATATCAAATATTTTTTTTATCAATATTTAATATTTTTATATTATATTACATATACTAATTTGTTATGATAGTAAACTAAAACAATAAATAAAATAAATTTATTTATTGTTTTTTATTTTAAAAAATTTATTGTGAGTATCTCCCTTAATTTTTTTTTACTTATTGTCTTATGTTTTTATGTTTTTAACGTGAAAAGAAGAAAATAATCCTAAAATTAGAGACAAAAAAAAATAAAAGGAAAAAAAAATGTAAGAAAGAAATTATATAAGAAAATAAATATAATATTTATTATAAATAATTTTTAAAAAAATAATAAATCTAACTTTTATTTATATTTATATAAAAAATATTTTATTTTTAAAAATAATTATTATATATATATATATATATATATATATATATATATATATATATATATATATATATATATATAAAAAAAAAGTTGACAGGGATGGTGACCCTTAGTCCGTCCCTACAACCATGTTCAAGGATTCAGTAAGGACCATAATCGTATGATTCGTATCTATAAAAGTATGAGTTAATTTTTTTTATAACGATACATTCACTACTTTTTTAGTAATAATTAAAAATATTATTTATATAATATTTTTTTAATTTCCGGAATGGTTAAAAAGTTATAAGGATTGAAAAAATAATTATTAAATTTTATTATAATATATTATAAAATAAGATTTAAATAAATAAAATAGTTAATTTTTTGTATTTCAACCATTGTAATACATGTTTATAGGTATCAAATAAAAATTGAAGGTTATAAATATTTATATCATATAATTAATAATAAAAATTAATAAACATTAATAAAGTAAATAAATTATTAATAATAGTAATAATAATAGATAACGTAAACTTAATATTTTTAAAAAAATTATAAAATATATTAATTTCATTTAGCTATAAAAATTTATTAAAATTTTGTTTATAGTTTTTTTAGCACTTTTCAATTATATCTCCCATTAATCATTTTCTATCCAAATATTGTCAATTACTTTATAATTTACGTAGTCAATAAAAAATAAATAAATAAAATTAAAAAAAAATTATTTTCCTCTCTAAATATGATTACAATCAAATAACATTTAGTTAAATAAATAAATAAACTGTTTATATAATATATGTTTTTAGAAGGCTAATTAAGAGTATTAATTACTCTTCTTTCTTCTATTTATGTATAACAAATAATAAATGATCATCAGAGAAATCAAATAAATAAATTAATAAAATAAAATAATTAATTATTAAAAAAATGTATAAAAATAAAAAAAATATAATTTTTATATTTTCTATTCACGCGTTTTTTTTTATCTTATATTATATTTATTATTATGTTATTATTTACTCTACATATTTTATAGGTTTATAAAAAAAAAAAAATTTAAATTTTTATTCTTTTCTATGACCTAACTGTCATATTTTGATCAGTACAAACATGGTCATATTTCAGGATAACTCTCGGTTTTATTTTATTTTTTATCCTTTAAAAATTATTAGTATTTTTTTATTATGTCATCTTATTGAATAAAATTCTTATACTTTATTTGTTAAATGATATTTTCATTCAGTTTATTAAATTTCTGATAAAAATTGTGATAATTTTGGAATGTAAATAAATAAAATAATAAATATATTGAGGAGATAGTAAATAAATTTAAGTTTATAATTTTTACAAGAAAAATATTACAATATATCTAAATAAATAGTAATCATATTTTATCAAATACTGTACGGAAAAAAAGATGAAAGATAATAATAATAAAAAATTCATCAAAATTTTAGATTATCAATATTATATTGTTTTGCTTAAATTTTCTTAGTTTTTATTTTTGAATAGTATGATTAAACTTATAAATAAAAATTTTGAAAGAGAAAACTAAGTAAATAAAATAATAATAATAATAATTAAGAGAAAAAATAAATAAATAAATTATTAAAATGAAGAATAATTAATATTTTTATTTGCCTAAAAAGCATTATAAACAAACTAATTAATTAAATTAAATAAAAATAAAATAATAAGCTCAATAACTTTTAATAATAATGTAAAAAATAATATATATATATATATATATATATATATATTTAACTATATGAATGAATATAAAGTTTAGATTTTATTTTTAGTTTCAACTTTTTTAAAAGTAAAGTCGTTTAGAACGTGACACTTTTTAGGTGGTGGGATTGTTGAAAGCAACCGAACGTAGCGGAAACGCTATTCTTGCTCACCGGATTTGGTTTCCACTTTCTTACCATTATCCCGTCTCACATTCGAACAGAAGTTTCCAGACACGTTCTTCTTATTTTACTTCTCAAAAATAATAAATAAATTGTTAAGAGCAACTTCCCAGTTGCTTATAATCAACCATGTTTGTAAGAAACTATGGAGCAATTTAAAGTAATAAGAATAATTTTAAAAATTAAGCACGCATTTTATAAAAACAATGTTTCTAAAAATTGATTTTTTTCAATTATTTTTAGTTTTTTCAATTTATTATTACTATTTTAATATTTTTTTGTTTATTTTTATTATTATTTAATATTTTAATTAATATTAATCATATTTTTAATATTAATTTTATTTTTAATTTAAATATTTTATTTTAATAATTATTTATATATTATAATTATTATTGATCTGATATAACAAGTATCATTAAAATAAAAAAAGTAATAATTGAATGATGAATTATTTATAAAAATTTATTATTAAAATTTATAAAAATTTAAAAAATATTGATTAAATATAATAAAAATCATAAATGGGTGATGCTCTAAACCGTACTCATTATCCTAATTTTTTTTATAATAATATAATATTACATAAAATAACGCGTGACACTTACGAGTGAGTGAGACACGATAACACTGTAGTATTATTTAGTGCATTTAGTACACGGTTTCATAGCACGTGGCTCACGCGCTCGTCTTCTAATAAGGAACGAAACCCAGAATTTCCTAAAACCCAAACTTTCCTTCTCCATTCCCGGAAACCCTCACCCATGACTGAGTCAATGCACGCCGTGGAACCGACGCCTGAGGCGGCGGAGCTCCCGGCGCCTGATCCCTTGTTTGATGAATTCTCCGCCGAATTCGGATCCCTCCCCCTCCTGTCCATGGACTCTCTCTTCAACTCTGACGCGCTTCCATTCGCCTCAGATCTTGATTTTGGCATGGATTTTGATGATAATAATGGAGAATTCGAAATCACCTTCGACGATCTCGACGACATCTGCATCCCCTCAGACACTGAGGATTTCCTTCTCCCTGACGCATGTAACCCCAACAGCACCTCTGTTTTGCCGCCAATTGAGGAATCTTCCCCGAAGAATTTCGATTCTCCGCGTTCTGACGCATCTGTCGTTTCTGGAGATCGGAGCTCCGGCGTTTCTAGGTTTTTCAATTCGCAAGCGTCCGAGTCAATTTCTGAGGGTAGTTCGAGCAAAGAGGGTTCGCATGATGCGGTTGATGTTAGGGTTTCAAACACTCCATCGCCGGAGTCTGAATTTTGCGACCGGGAGGAGTCGTCTCATGGACCGGTTTCGTCTCAGGGTTCAGGAAACGGTGGATCGGGTGTATATGAGACCATGAACTCGCCCTCACCTGATTCTGGATCTTCCGAGAGGGACATAACATGGTCTCGTGCACATGCAGGTATGGATAAGGGTGTGAAATTGGAGGAAATTCCTGGGTGTGATCTGAAGAGGAAGAAAGAGAGATGTGAAGGAAATGCTACCAAGCACAGACGGTTCTCGTCCTCCTCTGTGGAGAATAAGATCGAGAAACAGTCTCCATCTGATGTGAATGCAATTGATGATGATGATGAAAAAAGGAAGGCACGGTTAATGAGGAATAGGGAAAGTGCTCAGCTTTCTAGGCAGAGGAAGAAGCATTATGTGGAGGAGCTTGAGGAGAAAGTGAGATCAATGAATTCCATCATTGCTGATCTGAGTAGTAAGATTTCATATATGGTGGCTGAGAATGCTACACTTAGACAGCAAGTGGGAGCTGGTGTGATGTGTGCTCCTCCACCACCTGCTCCTGGGATGTATCCTCATCCTCCAATGCCTCCCATTCCTTATCCGTGGATGCCTTGTGCTCCCTATGTTGTCAAGCCTCAAGGATCTCAGGTTCCTTTAGTACCCATTCCTAGGTTGAAGCCTCAGCAACCTGCTTCAGCCGCCAAGGGTAAAAAGTCTGAGAGTAAGAAGAGTGAGGGAAAAACTAAGAAGGTTGCTAGTATTAGTTTCTTGGGTTTGTTTTTCTTTATCATGCTTTTTGGTGGGCTTGTTCCTCTAGTGGATTTTAAGTTTGGGAGTTTAGTGGACAATGTTCCTGGTACTGGTATGTCTAGCTATGTTAGTGATAGGGTGTATGGTCATGGTGGAGGGAAGGTTTGGTCTGTGAATGGTCCTAGGAATGGATCTGAAAGAGATGAGGAAGTAGGGTTTTCTAATGAGAGGTTTCGTGTTAAAGACAGAATGAATTACGAGACGGGCCGGCAATTAGGAGAAGAGAAGGGTGAACGGCAGGGCCCTGATGATTTTGGTCGCCAAGGAAATGCCAGCGAGCCTCTTGTTGCTTCATTGTATGTTCCTAGGAATGATAAGATGGTGAAGATTGATGGGAACTTGATTATCCATTCCATTATGGCCAGTGAGAAAGCTATGGCATCTCAAACTGCCGAGGCAAAGAAGGAGAAGAAAGAAACAGGTTTGGCCATTCCTAAGGATTGGGATTCTGCGTTGGCTATTCCTGAAGTTGCAAGAAAAAGAGGTCAACATCCACATGTCTATAGGGTTCCTTCTGAACAAAGGAAAGCTCTTGGCTCTGGTTCAACCAAAGCTTTGAAGGACCATATGAAGTCCTCTGCAACTGATGGTAAAATGCAACAGTGGTTCCGTGAAGGCCTTGCAGGTGATTATCCGATATTCTGGCTTTCATTTTTAATTTTATTCTGTATAGGTTACTTGATAGGAATTAATATTATACATTACTCTTCTACTGACTTATGTCATGTCTTGGTTACTTTCTAATCTTAATTTGTGAATATTCTAGCACATTAGACCGGCTACTTTGATTCCTTCGTAGTCTCGAACTAGTGTGATGAAATTGGTTTAAAAAATATCTTTCCACTTATTTTTGCATTATTCATTTTGTAGCTGTTGATTAGCTTTTCTTACGCCATGATTAACGTTCATTATCTATGGTAGTTGTTCTAAGTATAAATGTCTTCGAGATGTTCACCTTTCAATCATGCTTAAGCAAAGTGTTTTGCTGGTCGTGTAAACTATGCCAAAATAAAGGATCTTTTGACCTATTTTGTTGTCTGCCTAACATTGAAAATATGCTGAGTTTGCTGTTTTTCTGAACAGGACCAATGTTAAGCTCTGGCATGTGCACTGAAGTTTTCCAGTTTGATGTCTCTCCGAGTCCTGGAGCTATAGTTCCTGCAACATCAGTAGCCAATGTCTCTAAGGAAAAGCGTCAGAATGCTACCTCCGTCAAAAAGACGGGGAATAGAAGAACCCTTCATGGGTTTCCCGATTCTCTTACTGGATCTAATGTGAACATAACTGAAGAACATGTAAAAAACTTGCAGAAAGACCTCCTCCGTGGTAATGAATCTTCAATGGTCGTTTCAGTCCTTGTTGATCCCAAAGAGGCTGGTGATGATGTTGATGTTGATGGCATGATGAGACCAAAGTCACTCTCTCGGATTTTCGTGGTTGTGCTAATTGATAGTGTGAAGTATGTCACTTACTCATGCGGTCTGCCTCGTGCTTCTCCCCATTTAGTAACTTCTTATGTATGAGAGTCCATCCTTCCTTCGGTGAAAGATGAACCATCTAACCTGAGATCTAGTTTTGTAACAAAGGATATGTGGAGACTGGGAAGGAAGGAAAAAGATACTCAGCTCCAGTTTTGTACATAATAACATATTTAAAGTAGCAGGCTTGAAAATGTAGCTGAGAATACAGAGCTGGGCTTGAAATGGGGTTGTTGACCAACTGTGTGTAAGGTTGAGACCTTTCTTAGTAACTTAATAATATATGCCCACATCTTAATTTATAGGTCTATCCCTTGTCTTGCTTGATTGAATTGAATATATAGTTCAAATTTGCTCTTGAGAAAAAGCTTGTAAACTCGATTTAGGATAATGATGATTTTATAAAATTGAGTTTTTTTATCGCAGCACTAGCCTGATTTTATGATGATTTTATAAAATTGATTTAGATTAAAAATCTGCTGCAGAGCTTTGGTCGCTTATATTACATTTCTTAAAACTTAGCTTTCAAGTGAAACTAATTTTGAGTGAATCTGGGAATTGTATTTTTTGTTTCAAGAAAAGGAAAGTGAACAGTATGTTTAGGGGTGTTAATTTGTCAGTATTGTAATGTTTAGCGGTATTCAATTGTCTCAACGATCCAATCCAATCAATGGGATTAAATTCAATTTGGATTGGATTCGGTAGAATAAAAAATTGCGTAATCCAAAGTTTTTTTTTTTTTTATTGAGTTGGTGATGTACGTTTCATCGAGTTCGATAATGGATTTTGTGCCAAGCCGATTTAACTCTATCTCTCTACAGTTTATATTACAGGTAATTTTTAATCTAAAAATTCTTAAATACATTTTTAAAGAACAATTTGTTAATCATATTAGTGTAAAATCATAAAAATATGCAATTTGTTTTGTTTATTAATGATTGAATAATACAAAATGCAATTTATTTATAATATTAATATATATTTAGAAATTAAAATATGCGAAAATAGTCATTTTAAGAAAGGGAACAATAAAGAAATCTCAGAAACTTAATTAAATTCTTGTTAGTTTCAAAATCTAATGGAATAAGTTATTATACTTTTAGAACAAAAAATAAACCTTTAATCTATCATCTTACTTTCTTCGTATTCATTCTTTGAAGGCTTTGTCGATGATAATGTCTTTGTCATAACTTAAACATGTGCATGTCCATATGTTCAGTTTATACTAAAGAAATTATCTTGAGTTTAAAAGAAAAATATTTAGATATAAAATTAGTTTAGTTTACGAAATTAAAAGAAATAAGCAGGAAATAAAGTTTTTTTTCCTAATTTTCAAGAGATTAAAAGAATTTAACTGAGAACTTAAATAACCTCAGGCAATGAAGTTTTATTTACGAGGAAACATATAGACAATAACAGTATAAATGTACTTTTCATTCCTCCTAATAATCCGGCTTCCACAATGTACCAATTTTTAATAACACTCGACATCGAAATGCATATTTATTTAAATTTACACAAATACATTTAGAGAAGATATATAATGTGTCATACACCTCTAATTAGGTCTTTTTGATTTTACAAAGAAAATTAGTGAAAAATAAAATCATTGGAAAAAATAATACAACCTTAATTGCATCTTTAGAAGTTTCAAATTGGGTAATTTGGATGAAAAAATTTATGTATATTTTAGTTCTCTAAATTTTAGTTGTATTAATTGATTTTTTAGGTATTATATAATTATGTGATTTTAATTTCTATGTTAGTCGAAATTTGTTGATGTAATATTTGGAGTTGTTTTATCCACAAATATTAATGTTAATATGTCATTTTTTAATAGAAATATTCGAATCCACCACATATCACATTTTTCCTTTAATTCCTTTCAAATTAAAATCAACTTAGGGGAACTAAAATTATAAAATTGTCATATTTAGAAGTTTCAATCAAGACAATAAAAAATAAGAAAAAAATACACACATTAATAGTACTTGAAGACTCAATTAACACTGTTAGAAATCATATAATTAAAATTATGTAATAATTAAAGAATCAAAATGCAACTAAACCTAAAAATAAACCATAACCGGATTACATAAGTTCATATAATACATTACATAAATTGATGTACAATTTTTTTTATCTAATTTGCGAAAAGAAAGAGAATATGAGATAATAGACGTGAGAATATATATATTAAAGAATTAAACATTTTATTGTCTATTTATTAAATAGAATTATGGTTGTATTTTATTTTTATAGTTAATTAAATTTAAAATATTTAAATTACAATAATTTTTTATATTTTTAATCAAATTTAAATTTTATTTTTTATTTCTAATATATAGTATTTTACTAACTCAATAGATGAGAATATTCACTTGTTTTGGAAACATAAAGATCAAACATATCAATCCTTATTATCTTATATAATAATTGTTGAAGAAATAATGTCATAATCATACAATAATTATATAATATCAATTCCACAAATTAAGTCATTCATGAATTATTTTTGACACGAAGTACTCCTTAGTAAAAATAAAAGATTTAAAAAGATATTATAAAAGAATTAATAAATAATTATATCATCTTAAGATATTCAATTATCTAAGTCTGAAAAATAAATATCTCTTGTTGAAATTAAGTTTGAACTAAATAGAATGACTATGACTATCCAAAAGAATTTTATTGTACTTCCCTTAAACAAATTCACCAAATGAGTTTAGAAACTGTCAATAAACTTTACAAACAACACAAATTATTTTCATACATAATGAACCAAAAGAATAAATTTCACAAAATCTACCACAAATCTTATTTAGAAATAAAAAGAAAAAAAAAATACTCCAACCATTTAAAAAGAAGAAACAAGGAAAACATGTCACTTATAAAAAAAAAAGATATTCAAAGTTTTCAAGAAAAAGAAAGTTAGAGGAAAATCACATTGTTAGAGATGTTTCACTTCTAAGAAATTGAGTCATTTCTCGAGAAACTACTCCACAAGGTTGACAGGACAATCAAATTCATTTTTGCTCTCAATCAGCGAGATGATGATGAAATTGAATCCTTATACTCCAAACAAATCTTTGTAGATAAAAAAAATTGTCTTTGTCCAGCTGAATCCTCTAATAAAACAAAGTCTTCGCATTCAAACTTAAAATAGAAAGAGTCATTGTCTTCTCTTTCCAAGATATGTATTTGATTAACACTACACCACCATAACCATGTGTAAAAGTACAACTTCTTTATTCCAAATACGATAAGTCCATCACAATAATTGTTTATCTAGATGTTGGAGTCGAAAAGTCAATGATAGATCCAAATATTCTACCTAGAGAATTATGAAAAAAAAGAAGTATCTTATTTTGTTGTTGCATTGAAAAAATGTTCAAAATTGATGTTATCACTAAAGCTTCAGGAGGGATATATTGGAAGCAAGTTGTGAAATAAAGATATATTGGTAAGAATAGATATATATTTGTTTGCTAATAGGCTCCAAATTCATTTTACTATAATAAGATTCAAAACCTTCACTGAAGTATCAATGTTATTTTCTCTTTCGAAAGCTCCAATTGATCCAAAAGAAATAAATGCTAAAATAGACACCCTATGGGCTCATAGCCATGAAGATTTCTCCCACCCAACTCCTTTGTTGAAAAATTTTGAATTTTTTATCCAACTTCTTTTCAAACTCAATGAAGATGTCAATCTTACAAAAACTACTCATCTAGGCATAACTCCTTTAGATCTCTAATTAGCTCGACAAGAGTGCAATAAGTTATTGAGACAAGGATTGATAAAACAAATTTAGTCCAACTGAGTGTGCCAAACATTCTATGTCAACAAAGGATCTAAAAAGATTTGAAAAAAAGAGAGGTTATAATCATTTACTATAAAGCCCTCAATCATTTCTCTAAGGATTATAAGATTCTCATTCCAAAATCATCCTCCTTACCATTCCTTATCAAAGAATCCAACCCTTTTTCCAAGTTTGACTCAAGTCAGAATTTTGGAAACTATGTATTGACCCAATAGATAAATACAAAACTGACCTTTGTATCCTCAATGCTCAATACTAATGGAAAGTATTATTTTTCGATTTAAAGGTAATCCCTTTACTATTTCAAAAGATCATGACAAATTTTTTTGAGTCTATTATAAACAAAACCATCATTTACATATATGATATCCTTTTATTCTCTCAAGACATGGACTTTTACAAAAAAATTGATGAACCACTTCTTAAAATAACACATGAACATTTTCACATGGAACTTATCAACTACAACATATTATTGAAGAACTCCTTAATTTGCTTGATCAAAATTTGATCATCAAACATATTTAACAATTTAGTAGGGATTGGATTCTTAAGTACATATGGGATTTTATCCTTGAAGTACCAGGATACACAAGCCTCTTATCCAAATCATTGAAAAAGAACTCCCCTTCTTAGTAAGGATGAAAAATGGGCTAGGCCCGATAGGTCGATTTGTTAGTCCATCCTAAATTAGTGGGGTGGGTTGACAGTTCTAGCCTGTTAATTTATTTTGCCCCGATACGCTTAGCCCATTAACCCAATAGGCTAAGGACAGAGTTGGGACTGGACTAATCCACTTTTAAATTATTTATGTATTAAAATAAAAATAAAAGTTATTATAATTAAAATATTATATTTATTGTGTTATGTTGTTGGAATATGTAAATATACTCGTAGTATTATAATTTATATCATAAATATTAACCAATTAAGTTTAAATTATTATTATTATTATTATAATTGAGTATTTTAATACATAAATATAATAATTTTTTTAATAAAAATATTAATTAATGAATAAAGACTTAAAATATGTTCATATAATTAATGATGTATTAAAAAAAAATACGTAACAAAATATTGGTAGACTACCTACTTGTCTGTCAATTCGTCCTTTGACAGGACTAAATATGATCTATAGTCCATCCCGATTATAGTGAGTTTGTGCGTCTCACCTCCTTACTAAAGAAGGAACGGGTTAAAACAAGGTGAACTAATTCATTTTACCACCCTAGTTATAGAGGATCAGAACAAACTTAAGTTGTTCAAGAATTAAAAAAGATAACCTAAACTCCACCAACATTGAAAATCCTAGGACATGGAAAAATAATCCTTTGAACTTATGGTAATGATCATTATTGGGGCATTTCTATTGAAAAATAAGAGATATTATTGTAGACATGTTAGTGGTCAATTCAAAGATGAGAAATATTATCACATCACTCTCAAATAAGTGTTAAAAAAAAAGGACTAGTGAAGTTCAAATAGATAACTCCTATTTTCCAAAATCCTAGATTTAAAAAACAAAATACCACCAAATTTACACATTCTAATACTTAAATATTAGTTTTCTAGCTATGTGTTTACTGTAAAACATGTTAAAGGGAATCAAAATTTGATTCTAGATTTCTTATCAATGTCTGGAATAATTATCCAACTAATCTTTGTTGCTCACAACTTCCCTCTCATTTTTACAGTAAAGTTTTTATCCATCAAAGCAAAAATGATAAAAGTTTATCCCATTATTTTTACTTCATCCATTAGACAAGTTAAATATTGTATGGTTATCACTACTAGAAAACTTATTTTTTTCTGCCAATTTTCTTGCAAAAAATTGTTTAAATTTATAGAAAATTTATTTCTTGTAATTTTTACCAAAATTTTGCAAAAATATTCCCATAAAAAATGGGAATTTTTAGTAGTGTATAAACGTTTTTCGTAATAATATTTGCACTTACAATATTCAGAGTACATATCTCCTATCTATAGCCACACTAATCTAATGCTCATCTTAACACTCTTATGAAAATAAAAAATGTTATTAAATGAATATTGTGTTACTTTAGATACGTCCTTTTTTTTTAACCTTTAATATTGTGATGAACTTTATCATTTATTGATTAGAAGTAAACGAGAAATAAATAGAGTTGAAAAAAATGGTTAGAAAATTAAATTGATCTGTTTGATGAATTATCTCTTCATGTAGGTTAAAGTTAATTCAACTCATTTAATTGAGTTTTTGTTTATAAATATTTTTTTCATTCATAAAATTTATTGGCTGGAAATAAATTGAAACAAAAAGGGAAATAAGTAAAGAAGAGAAATTTATATTGAGTTGTTTGATGGAAGATAATAAGTAAGAAGAAAATAAATTGATTTTTTCAAGTTATTTAGTTTGAATGATACAAGAGATGGAAAATGAGTGAAATTATGCAGATTAATAAATTTTTTACAATAACCTTCCTCTGACCACCATGAAAAACATCTTTCAAACCCTATTTTAAATTCATTTTTAAATTATATTTAAAGTTTATAAAAATATTTATTATATTTGATCATGTTTCATTTTTAATTCATATTTATTCTTATTACTTAAAGATATTTTAGTAATTCACTAAATTAACTAATTATTATATTTTTATTCTTTGAAATAAATAAAGTTAATTATAAAGTTTTTAATATTTTTCCTTTCTTTTCTTCTGATCCGAACAATGAGTGACAATGATCCCTTTAGGTGCTCCACCTTAATCATTTTCTTCTTAAGTTCAAAATTTATATGGTCTACTTTAAATGTTCGTAAAAATATGGAAACTCTTCTAAGAACGAAAGTATCTCAACCATATGTTCATTATAATATCATCATTAAGATCAATTACCACGTTTGAGATATTGTATGTTTTGAAATTCTAATCTATTATGATTTTATCCTTAAAAGGTGTTTTGGTGAACTGAGAGAGGAGACATGAGATTAGGACACTTTCGTTCCTAAACAAAATATTGACACCCACCATGGAACCAAAGATAAAGTCTTGCTCCACTTATGCTCTTTAGTCCTCCTCGACTGAGGAATTATATACCAGTATATTCATGAGTTCCATATCGTTTAGGGGTCAAGATCAAGGTAGTTTATATACACCCTCCTCTCTCTCAATCCATTAATGTACCTTTTAAGAATAAAATCGTAACGAACTATAATTCCAAAACGAGCAATACTCATATATGATAATTGACTCTAACGATGCTATCGTAATGAACATGAGACCGAAACACTCTTATTCCTTTGAACAAAAATCAATCAAGCTAAATAATATTGCCTAAAAAATTAATTTTTTAAGAAATATGTCTTTTAAAAATTGATTGGCATGAACCAAATGTAGTAGATTCATGAGCTCCATATAATTTCTACGTGTAAAAGAAGTGTTTCAAGTGCTTTGGTTATAAGAAGTTCTCACTACCAATATGAAAATCTTCCAAATACTTTAGGAAGAGACTATTATAATAGAAAGATTTAGAATTCAATACTTTCTTTATCTAGCATGTATGAGGATTAATAGGAAGATTTTGAATTGTTCAAGTAATGTATTTCAAATCCAATCGTCTAATAATATATAATTTGGCCAAAGATGAAGAAAAACGAGGAGAAGATATTAGATTCTTACAAGAGAAAGCATTGAATATAACAAAGGTTTTGAATTAAGAAAGTTGTAGAATTTAAGACAATCAAAGCATATGTCATTTACTCAATAAGATATATACAAAGAAGATAAAGGGCATGTTGTTGTAAGTTAAAGCATTTGAATATGATTTCACCTCTAAACACAAAATTTGAAATGGTGGCCAATGCAGCTCTGGCTGAGTTTTTTTCTATAAACAAAACTAGAAGGAAATAAACTGAAGGTAAACATCTCTTATTTACCTTTGACAGATAACTAAACTTCGAAAGAATCAAGCACCACCTTTAGAGTCTTCTCAGAAGTTTGCCACTGCTTGTCATTGGCACTAACCACAAACAGAACAACAGTGTTTCCCTTTGCTGTTGCTTTTGCAAGATTGTGTGTGCCAGTGAGAGCATAGGGAGTTTCAAGCACATATTTGTAGTACTGCAGATACCATTTCAGAATATTAGACACTAATAATTGCTAACAACAGTTTTCCATATTTAACAATATTTAGTCAGCAACATGAAAAAAAAAAAACATTCAAAAAGATGCGTATGCAATGCAATCTATTGTGGAGTGAATTTTAGTGGATAAGAAAATTTGATTTTATGTTCTGTTTATATTTTTTAGTTACGGGTGAACACTGCACATGAGATTTATTCTTTAAGAATAGACATATGGATAAAACGACACTCCAGAGAGCTCATAATGCTCCACCCCACAGAGATTTTAAATACTTTAGGTCTCTGAAATTTCTTATTGCAACTTGTTGAAATACATTTCTGTATAAACCGCTTCTACATTGTTCATTTTAGTGAAATGCTTCAACTGGAACATTCTTGTCCTCTCTGCATAGCTTATGGTTGGAGAATAGGAACTCAAGTTAATATAACTGATTTTGTGACAATGTTGAAAACAGTAAAAGACTAGTAATTATTAAACGTATTGGTTGAATGCTTCATTCAGTTTCTTCATTTTCTAACAAGTAAAAATAAGCTATGAGAGAATGTACCGTCTGATCACCAAGCTTTTCAACTGAAGTCTCAAGGAGCTCTTCTGGATCAAATGTGTTTCCAGTGACAAATGGCCCAAGAGAAGCAATCAGTTTTTCTGGGCTACCAATGTCCTCAATTGTTGCATTCGGTTTGTTGGTAAGGCGTATCAAAGGTGAAGCCACTACCTGAACCTTTCCCTGTTTTTCATCTTCAAACTTAACCTCCACCCAGGGCTCTGCACATTTTGGCTGGCAGTAATTTCCAGATAATATGTTTGCTACACGAGCCTGTTTCCAAGTAGGGGGGAGGAGAAACTTGTATGGCTGCACATTTCCTGCGAAGAACTAAATCTAGACTATCAATTGCATAGAACAACAGTAGGAAACTCAAGTGCCTGAGATATGGTTTGATCTCTCAAATATAAATAAAGCATATACAAATTTCAACAGTAAAATTCATCATAAGTCAATGACTTTTGTGAACATTTACATAAAAGGGTTTCTAGTAGAACTTTAGATGCATGAGTGGCAATTTGTACTGATTTGATCCTGAAAGGTTTTGGCCATACAAAATTAGATTTTGAGGGATTAGTAGCAATTTGATACTTTTGAGAACCGATTTGTATAGACCTACACCTCTTTTTTGGTGCTAAAAACTTGTGGTAGAACATGGACGTTAGATAATCTTATTGAGTAGGGTTTCTCAGCAAGTAGGAATTTAACAGTATCAAGAGGAAACAAACACGCATTCATGGGGAGGATGAGGAGTAGACCTACTACACTTTTCGTAACAAAATTGTACATTAACCCTATAGTTAAACTACAAAATTGAATTATACCTAGATGCTAATAACGATAATGAGACCTTTTTTTAGAGTCACAAACCTCCAAAATTACAACTATAATTTCTAAATATGCAACTGAGAGTCACCAATTAGATCAAATAAAATAGCCGGTGGTGCAAAATCATCACTTGGGAGACCCCAGTTATCAATTAACGCGCCAAATTGTTTGCATAAGAAGCATCCAAATCATAGTTTCCTTAGGCCTGTCAGACTATTCAGGTTCTTAAAACATCGTAATCGTAATCACCACTTGTCCTTGCACATGAAGCCAAACAATGTGATGCTCAAATACATAACCATGGAATCACCATCTACTCTAGCACTCTCTCCAGCCACATATCTCAACAAGTCAACTCAACTCTCTAGTGTGAAATCAATGTACCTGCTCGGAGGGCGGGAGTGTCCTTGGGAGAGGCCGTGAAGAGAACGAAAGAAGGGTCTGAGGGTGAGGGTGGGAGAAAGGATCCAACCTCAACTTCTCTAGCATGAGAAGGGGGTGGCTCTCTCAGGACAACAAGAGGAAGAGGCATCAAAGCAAGACCCTTCAAGCATTCCCTTCTGGAAGTGTGTTGGGAGGGAAGATACTCGGAAGCTGAGGCTCTGAAAGCATGTAAAGTTGAGAGCTTGGAAGATGAAGATGAGAGTGTGAGTGGGAATAAGGAAGTGAATGGAAAAGTTGCCATTTCGGATTGGGGGCTTAATGTTAGTGAAATGTGTGTATGAAGGGACAAGGTTTAAGGTTGATGTTAGAATCTGACTCACTCTGTCCCTTATCCATTGTGGACACACCAGGATCACACTTGATACTCCCTCTCGGTGGGAACAACTGTGGTTAAGTTTCACTTTGTTCTTCAATAATAACAACAATCATAATATTAACAATAACAAATATTAACAATAACAAATAATAATAATAATAATAATAATAATAAGGAATATGAATAAATATAGAAATTATTTTTTATAAATAAAAAAATTAAATATAAAACTATTTTTTACACCGAGTTATATTTGACTTAGTGGATTGAAAAATATTAGAAGTAAAACTAAAAGAAAGAAATATGAATAATAAAAAATTATATTTTTAATCCTAAAATTGAACCTAATTTTGATTTTGATTTTATATTTCTTTTTAAATTTTTTTTTAATTTCTTAAATTTGAAAAAAGAAAAGTAGACCACAAACACTAAATGTAAGGGACTAAAATGAGTTGTTAGGATTGAAGATTTAGAATTTAAAATTTAAGCTCTATAAGAATTTATATATATATATATATATATATATATATATATATATATATTTAAAGTCTCATAGTTAGAATATTATTAATTTTTAATTGAGTATGAAATTAAAAAACTTAGAACGAGGAAGAAAAAAAAGTTGTTCGTGGTATTCCGAAGTGAAAATGAGAATTTTTGGAGAGAGAGAATTCGTGCTCGAGATGAATCTAAATATAACAGAAAATAGGGCAAATACAACTTGAGATTAAGAAATTCTTTGATTCACTTTACCGTAATAAGGCCTTGAATAGTGGTTTGTTCTTCACTCTAAAACTGAGTTTATAATTATTTTCAAAAATTTACGAAACTTAATCAATTTCATTTTGTTTCAACAAGTTTTAAAAATTTAGATAATTTGAGTTGTTGATCCCTACGCGTGTAAAAAGACTAATTTCAAAAGTTTTCATCTAAAAAGTTTATTTTCAAAACATCTTCCAATATTACATAATCAAATTATCCTCATAAATTATTGTTCAAACCGCAACACTTGTATTTTTATTAGTTATTTTTTTTACTTCATGTGTTTCTTTTTTTAGTGAGAATCTCAAAATAAATTTCAATTCAGAGCACTGAGTTACATTTTGTTTGGATTTTCAATTACTTTTTCGGAACGGGTTTGGAAAACGATAAAATGATAATTTTCTCATCACATTTAATTTGAGATAATTAGTTATGATTTTCAACACTTTTTTCGATTAAAAATTAATTGAAATTTTATTAATTAATTAGTATAAATAAATTCAAAATTCTATATACAATTTAAGATACATTATCGCTTAAGTACCAAATCAACCTCATTGCATTTAATTTGATTCCCAATGGATAAAAGTAGGGTTTTCGTTTGATAAAAATTACCCATTAACTAATTTTATATCAAAATAACTAATGTACATAACTTGCAAACAACTTATGTCTCTCTATTTACTATTTTTAAAAATAAAAACGTTATTTAATAATTTATTTATTATAATAATTTAAAAATGAGTTTACATTTTAGTTGTAGAGAACAAAAAACAAATATTTTTATAAATTGTGTTGTTTGATTTTATCAAAAGTATCTACGTAATCGTTTACAATTATATGGCATAATTCACTTTTATACAATTATTAAATTTAACTTTTCAATTTTTATCACGACTTTTTTTCATGGATTTTATCCCAAATTTTTAAAATGATTTTCAAAATAGATATATCAAATAAATTTATTTTCATCTTAATTTTAAAAGTAAAACTAATAAATAAAATTAAATCAAACAAAAATTTTAATCAATTTATTATCTTTTCTTTTTCTCTTATAACCTCTGCATCTTGTTGTTCTCTCAAATGATGAACTTTCCATTTTCTTATACATCACTTATAAACAAGGTTGTAAAGCTGATTTGTTCCTCAAATCTCACAGTTTTATATGATGCTATTATTTATTCTTATAATTAATAATAATAATAATAATAATAATAATAATAATAATAATAATAATGTTGTGACATAGTTCTATCTCGAAAAATTTCAAGTTGTATCACCCAATTATGGTCATATAAATATCAATAAACTTAAAGAAGAAAGTATGTAATTCGGTTCCCATAAAGTCTTACTAAACACATCACCTTATCACTGGTATACCCAGAGGGAAACTTAGTGTTTGGTCTGACAAGAACATAATTAGCGCCTACCATGAGATCAAACATGAACACAACCAATGGTATCTATCAGAAACATAACTGACATAGAGCAACAAAGCCCACCTAAGAGAGAAAACCAAATTAGTGAAATAACCCTCCTAGCCAAATTGAGAAAGGAGCTCAAAAACTTCAAAAAGGAAAGTTAAGAGGAAATAATGGTGTTGAGGAGGGAGAATGACCGGATCAGAGAAGGAAGGGAAACATGACTCAGGGAGCCTAAGAACATCCAGAATGTGAGAGCACCCGATTGGCACTCGTCCTCCATCACCCATTGTGCAAGCCCAAACATGTTTCAGTGTGAGTCTTTCCCTGGAAGAAACGTCAAATCCCATACTCGCCAAAGGACTGCGATGACATCCTTTTGTCGATGGAATCACCGAGGTCCCTTTACTAACCTTGTGGACTGAATTGACAATAAATCAGTATAATGGGACAATAGATCCCGACGAACACGTAGACGTGAACTAGTGGCGGATATTCTTGGGAGCTTAGGGGGGTCGTGGCCCCCCCAAAGTTTTGTAACTTCCATGTAATTTATGATTTTGCCCCCTCAACTTAATGAACATTTAATATATTTACTTGTATATTTACAATTTTATCCTCTCAGTCCCTCCTTAGTTTTGTAACTCTCATATAATTTATGATTTTGTCCCTCTTAAACTTAATGATCATTTAATATATTTATGTATATATCTACAATTTTATCCTTTCACCCTTTGATCTTCTTTCTTCCTTTTATATTTATTTATTAATAATATATTATTTGGCCCCCCAAGATCAATGGTCAAGATCCACCACTGACGTGAACGTGACACATATAAGCCTTTATACGACCGATGACACGATCTTGTCCTGGGTATTCCCTACCTCATTAAAAGGAGCGACATTAAATTGGTTCACGAGGTTACTCTCATACTCGGTTGATTACTTTGAAACTTTAGTAGTCAAGTTTGTGATACAATTCACCACTAGTCAACCGTGTCATCTCAGACCAATCACCCTCGTCAATATAAGACAAGAGAAAAAGGAAAGTCTCAAGGCTTTCATGGAGAGGTTTGGGAAGGTAGCCTTGAACATAAGAAATCTTAATCCAGAAGTTGCCCTACACCACTTGGTGTCAACCTTAAGGTCGAGACCATTACCGACAACTTGTGTAAAAAGCTGAAGGGGGACCTCGAAAAATTACAAAGAAAGGCAACAAAATTCATGCAGTTGGAGGAGCTAAGGGACTAGAGGCAAGGATAGGTAGCTCCTCGAAGTTCCAACCGATTGAAAACCCCATAATATAATAGGAGAAATAAGAACTCCACGTTTCACTCACTACATCCCTTTAATCGTCAACTGGGAACGAGTCTTGGAAGAAGCATTGAGTGCAAACATAATCCATACAACGAGAAAAATGCCAACTCCTCCTAATGCCGGTCGTAGCAAGTATTGTCAGTACCATCAAAACTATAGCACACGATCGAGGACTGTGTCACTTTGAAAGATAAGATTGAAGAACTTATATAGGGGGGACACTTGCAACAATTTGTGAAGAGAAACGATCAACAAACCTATGGTCGTCAAGACCACAAAGGTGCAACCGCCTTAGAGGGGTGATCAACAACATAACAGAAAGATTTGCAGGAGGAGGCTCCTCCAATGCAACAAGGAAGAGACATTTGAGGATGGTGAGAACCATAAACACAATGGCAACGCGACGATGTTTTATGTTGACCATCACCTTTACTGATATAGATTGTCACGTCGTAGATATGAATCATGACAATCCTATGGTCATCATTGTGGAAATCGTCAACTTTGCGATCCAAAAAACATTGATAGACCAGGGAAGCTCAGACAACATACTGTACTGGAGAATATTCTAACAATTGTAGTTGGTGGAAGATTCAATACACCCCCCGATCATGAGTAGATAGTCAGATTCCAGGGGGAAAGAGTTTATACAAAGGGGCACATTGACCTATACACTAAATTCGGCGAAGGGAGCCAAGAATGTCGTACCATAAAGGTAAGATACCTGGTAGTTGATGTAACATCCTCCTACAATATACTCCTCGATCGACCACCTTTAAACACCCTTGGTGTCATAATGTCCACATTGCACCTAGTAACAAAATTTCCAACCAGTACCAGGATAATAACTATAATACATAGCGACCACTGGATAACATAAGAGTGTTACATCACGAGCTTGAAGTTGTTGCCATCATCTAACACGTGGGTCAACACACCATCATGGTCGGTGGTGATTGTGGATCTAGATCCCCACACCGGCAAGGACATTTGAGTTAAACCTCGAGAGAGGACCATCCATTTTCAAGTAGGACATGAGGGACATAATACACACATAGGAACAAAGTTGGAAGAGGATGATAACTGGATAATCAAGAACATTTATTGAAAATGTCAACTCATTTGTGTGGACGACTACAAACATGCTTGGCATTGACCCATGGATAATCTCCCACCGGCTCGTTGTATTTTGGGAGGCAAAACCACTCTCTCAAAAGAAATCGAAAATGGGGGATGAGCATCGACAAGCAGTATAAGGGGACACAAGCTGTTGGAAGTCGGGTTCATTCGAAAAGTTCAATACACAACTGGTTTTCGAATGTAGTCCTACTAAAAAAGGCGAACAGTAAATGGTGCATGTGCACCGATTACACAAACCTCAACAAAGCATGCCCAAAAGATGCATACTCTTTACCAAATATTGAC